AAAAAAGGATTTTAAATATATTTTAGATTTTAAAACAAATTATCAGGCAGTTGTTTTAGTTTCACTTTTGATTTGTATGTATTTTTGTTTGTCTTGATTGACATCAACCTTGGATTCAGAGTTATTAGTAATTGAAGCTGTTGAAGTTGGGGGATCTGGTCTTTTGTTTTTCGGAGCCGATGCCTGCAGCTGTTCAAACCAATCTGGATCACTGCTTTCAAAAATCCTTCCTCCAAAAGCCAGCAACCCCATTTGAATATGAGAAGCCTCAGATTTTACCTTGCTGTTAAGACAGGCTACATACTGCGAACTAGTCAAATTGCGGCTGCAATATTTATGATGATACATATGAAATATCCCTCTGTCTACAGCTCGCACTACCTTAATTTTACTGTTTAAATATTTACGGTATAATTTAACATCTTCTTTGCCCCATCCCTTAATGGTCAAGTCAAAACCTCCTGTTTGTAAAAAATCACTCCTGTAATGGCACACCATTCCAAACCCAAAATCTCTCCAATATCCTGTCTCACGGTTAATCTTGTACTGCTCTCTAAGGGGAGGAGGATTGCCGCCGTAGACGACCATGGGATTAAATAAGCTGAATACAACTGGATAATACACTTGATGACCTGGTGCTGTATAAAAGCGACATCTTTCCAGAAATTCAGGTGTAAAGAACACATCCACATCGCAGAAAAACATCAAGACGTTCCCCTTGTCCCAGGCAAGTGCCCCCTTCTGTAATCCAAGCCCTCTTGAGAAAGGCTTATCAGAATATATAATCTGATAACTTGTGAAGTTTGCTGTTCTTGAAACATTAGAAAGTATATTCCCTATTTCATGTTTTCCTTCTTCACCAAAGAATACAACAGTTAAGAATAACCTTCTGTCCCAGTGAATACCGACTGCAACGAAATTTTCCATAAATAGTTTGAACTTCTCTATTCGGCCCGAGAGAGGTAGAATTAAGTTGATAATGTCATGATTCGTATCTACTGTTTCTACATTGCCAACAAGTTGAAGAGAAGTGAATGGTCTGAACGCTTTAATCCTGTGATACACATTTAAGTGATTTGTTCTAAAGTACAAGTCATACTCTCCGCCCTTGATTCTATCAGTTCTGGAGATACCATCAACTAGATCGAAATCCGAAGTCAGCATATTCTTATCTTCCGAGTCTTCATTAATTTTACCCACAGCAAAGTTTAAGATACTGTGATATTCTTTTCCTATTGGTTGTCGAGGCATAGGTCGTACTCCAGGGCTATGACCAAGACCAGTACTCAAGCTATAAACAGCATTCCAAGTGTAACTATCAAAATGAGTCACCTCAAATTCAGAAGTCAGGATTTCTCCTTCGTTAAACTCCTTCACCAAGTCGCTATTCCTGCTTTCTGGTAGCTGTTGGGTAAACTTCAGCTCTGAGCGCTTGTAAGCCTTTAAAAGTAACGTAAGATCTTGACTTTGTTTACCAAGTTTTCGAATGATACTGTTTTGTACATCAGCTTGGCTTTTTAACTTCTTGATTTCTTCGTTTTTTTCTGCAATTTTTTCTAAGTATTTCTTRATCTTTTCTTCGCATGATAAGCTTCGTTTTTCGCGGGCCCAAAGCTCCTGGCTTTCACCACAACGGCAGATAAAAAATAAAGAAATTTGACCAAAGAATAAAAGTAATAAAACTGCACACGTGGCTTTAAAGACGAAATTTTTCGAAGGCTTCTTCATCGAGWTTAAAAGTCCTTGATTTAAGCAGATTGACACAACACAGCGAGGTGACCAACCTTTATAATTTTGACCTTAAACATCCCGATTACAGGATCTGAAGGTTAGAAGCCGTATCTTTTACAGTTATCGAGAATACGTGTCGACARCCGATGGAAAGTCCATCAGCTGTGTTTGCTTCAAGGCAGCTTATTACGCATGCGCAGTAGGAGTAGACACTTCATTGGCTTTTCGCGGCAAAACCTGGAATATGAGTTACTCTCTTTATTCTGAGTTACTCTAGAGCTATTAAATAGTTCATTGGCTGACAAGGGAACTTGCACATTGGATTTCACGCGAATACCGATATCGCACGAATTTCAAAGCAATGATTACGATATAAGTTTTCGAGTTGTGTGAGCTTTCCTACGTCAGACGATGAAAGTCGGCTTGAACATAGACTTATTGACGCGTGAGTGTTTTGATTTACAAGATAAAAAAAAAAAAAAAAAAAGACAGCGCGGGTTTCCTGAATTTCTGAACCTGGGATCCCTGATTTTTCATTCGCCTTCCAAAGTGAAATACCCACTTGTACACGTCATCTCTAGCCAATCAGCCGCGTATATATGATATAAGATATGGGATGCTAGAGTACAAACACCATAAGTGTACAAAATAAATACCACTAAATACTGCTAAATTATGCTAATCATATTGTTTTCTATTGTTTAATCAGCACTATTTACTGTAGTCAGTACTCTATTAAATAATGAGGTTAAAAGACTTATCATAGCATTGCTTTCCTAAGGACATTTTAAAAATCCCTTAAGAATTCTGATCTCAGATGGCTGGTAACATCTACATTAACTTTAGAAGTGGGTGTTATGCACAGGGCCCGGTTGTATAAAGGGTGGATAGCGCTATCCGACGGATACAATAAATCCTTATCCAATGGATAAAGTAATGGTGTTGTCCAATGAATTAATCCACAGGATAATATTTTCTCGTTGGATCAGTGCTATCCAATCTCTGTACAACCAGACCCAGAGTTCTAGGAATAAGAATTTATTCACTTGAAATAGTAATTTTGCATGATTTAGCAAGTCAATCAAGTTTAGTTTTGTAACTAAGAATATTTGACTCTTTCGATGTTAACCCGAATCATTCATATTAAATCTACCGTTCATCTTGTCCCGTTTAAAGCTGTTTTCTATCTTGGGYTCCCTGTGTTTTGTCTTAAATACTGCTGTCCATCAATATAAAGGGCTCAAGAATCACTAAAGAAGAAGAAAAGCCATCGAAGTTCTGAAAGAAAAATAGGGAAATGTCTACCATACGAGCCTTTAGATGTGAAGACATGTTCCATTTTAACAACGTGTAGGTATTTAAGCAGTAATTCTTTGATTCTATCAACAAAATGCAAACTTTATTAAAGCAGACATGTGCAGAACATACTCACTCTTACACGTACTTTGTAGATCTTGAAGCATGGCGATATTTTTACTGTTCTGGAATGAATTATTTAGTCATCGGTAATCGTATTTGATGAGTAAATACAGAAATGAAAGATGAACAGCAATCTCTTTTCAGCTACATCCCAGAGAATTTGAATTTTGAAGTTTATTTATAGAACAAGAATGTTGTGTTCTCTATACGTGATTGGCTTATTGCTGCTTCATGCTTCTGAGACACTCTATAATTTAGTAGTTACAAGTGCACTTTGAAATTTGATCTTTCGGCGCTGTCAATCAAAAATATTCAGTCAATGCCTTTTATGTTCTTGACTGCCGACAGTGACAAATAAATTTTACCAAAAGCTGTTGAAATTTTTGAGTTCACAGAATATTGAAAGCTGCAGTAAGCTTAGACACTGGTAACCCAATATGGTCTTTTATATTAGTTTTCTTTTTTTTGAGTTTTTTATATCTTGCTTTTTGTTTTTGCAGAAATCTTGACCCACTAACAGAAAATGTATCCTTACTGTAATGATATGATATGAGACAGTATGCATTGAAAGCTACAAT